CTCTCAATCTCTCTCTCTCTCTCTCTCTCTCAATCTCTCTCAATCTCTCTCTCANACTCTCTCTCAAACTCTCTCAAACTCTCTCTCTCTCTGTGCTACTCTCTCTCAAACTCTCTCTCTCTCTCTCTGTGCTACTCTCTCTCAAACTCTCTCTCTCAAACTCTCTCTCTCTCTCAAACTCTCTCTCTCTCTCAAACCCCTCTTTCACTCACACGAACAGAGACCCAACAAGAGCATCCTCTTGTACCCTCAAACTCCGCACCACTCCATAGGTAAACTACGATCTTCTCCTTTATGTTCCTACGCATAACCTTGTGCACTTATTCATGCGATGCGATCTTGTGGATGTCGCATTTTACGCCTCGACTCCCACCTAGCGGCTCGAGGATCGTGACGGCCGATCGGATCTGCCAGTGCCATAGATTGCAGCTCTATTGAATGATCCAGCACAGCACAGCTTTGTACTGATTCTTCTGGCCCCAAAGAAAAAGTCTTTTCCTGGTTCCCTTTTTGACACCAGACGTAATGAGTCAACCACAGGTCCGCCACAACGAGTCGCCGACGCCAACGGCGACGCGTCGTCTTCGTCTCGTGACCAAAAGCCTGGCCCGCATCACCTCTTCCGCATCCTCCTCGGCCGCCTCCTCCACTACCTCCTCGGCTGTCTCCTCTGCTGCTACCTCCATTGACATGGAATCAGCTGACGAGTTTAGCGCACCACCCACTCGACGACTGCCCCGCATCACGACCAGCAGCTTTCGGGATCGCTTTCACAGTCGCTGTCGCAGCGAACCACACCTGCAGCTATACAATGGCCCGGACGTGTCCGCGGAAAGTGCAGAGACCGATTCCGTCTCTGATCTGTCCTCTTCAAAGCAATCCTCCTCTCGCGAGACAATCGCCGCCATGCAGGCGCTCATGAAGCGTTCAAGCTTACCAGATTTCTCGCTGACTCAGAGTCGCACGCCTGCAGACTTACCCGCAGATTCCTTGCCCGCCCCCACTTGCTACGACATGGCCTTTCTCGACATGTTTGCCCGCAACTGGCCCAGCCACTTGCTCCACCAACTCCACACTGGTGTGCACAACATGCTCGTTTATGAACAAGAGGCCAACTCTCGCCTTCAACGCAAACAAATCAGCAACGCCCGTGCCACGACCCCAACCCTGTCTCGCCCTTCCTCGGCCCACACGCTAAGCAGTATGCGGGCCAGCAACGCCAGCACCAGCAGCCTGAACAGTGCGTTTCGCAGCTCCAGCTGCACCAACCTCAGCGACCACCGGCTTTATGCCTCTAGCCCAACCCCCGAGCCCCCCGCATCCCCGACCACCCCCACCCACATGGACAAGGAGCCAGCCGAAGATGTCCTTCACAGCAACCTCATCGACCTGGCCTTTCGCACCGTCCGCCAGCTCCAAGCGCATCAACTGGAGCTCTTCCGCCTCTGCGCTCGTCTCCATGGTCAAGCTAACGGTGGTCCCAAGGCTCTGGACTTTCTCGAGTACCATCTCGACGCCATGAAAGAGCATTTCGCCATCCAGCGTCGGGCCATCAGCGCGTTTGATCGCAGCTACTTTCGCAGTCAGCAGCAGCTCTGATTGACCTACTTGGGCTCCATGCATCTGCCTCTTGCTCCACCATGTTGCCACTTTTGATTACCGAGTGGCCCTGCTTCTACCCTCTGTGTTCTTTCTTCCTTTCTTTTGCTCCTTTTTTTTTTGTGCTGTGCTGTGCTGCTTAGATACTTATTCTATCACATTCTAGACCGATGGCCAGTGTTGACTCGCGCGCCTCGCAGTATATTTACCCGCCCCAGCTCAGCCTTTGAGAGCCCAGTTGGGGTGTTTTATGGCTTCATTCTATCGATTCGTCTGTCTTCAGTGGTTGTTCTTTCTTCTTTTCATCTTAAAGCTTCTATACCCGCCCTTCTTATCATCTTTTCGTTTGGTGCATGCGCTTGGTCGCATGGGCACAATTGACTCCATTCCACGTACACGTCTTCAGATTATTTTCACTTCACATTGTCAAACTCCATGGCGCAAGTTGACACGCTGTCATCAGCCTGCGGTCTTCCCTAAGCTCATCCCTGGCCGCTTGGACAACACCGGAAACCCCCCTCCAAGACACAGCAACCACCAGTCAGTCATACCCGGTCATACCCAGTCATGCCAATACCCAGATGACACGAACACACACACACACTCGCGTGTCTGCTAGTATTGCTGAGATGCACCCGGAGGGGACTGAGGACCAGACCTCGTGTTGGTCGCGTCAATGTCGTGAGCAAGGATACCGTCGGACATTCTCACTGGCCATGATGAAAATCAGACCAGTCCTCCATAGCATAAAGGTGACCACGTACCGCCTTTGATTCTGATTCTCGCTCTCGTTGTCACATGTGGTAGTTGTGCTATTACATGTAGGTGCTTCTCTCTTCTCTCTTCTCTCTTCTCTCTTCTTCTCTCTTCTCTCTTCTCTCTTCTCTTCTCGAGTTTGAAATTGTTAACAACAGCAGTTGTGTTTTTAAAGTTCCCGGCTCTTGTCATCCAACAACACAACTGCTGCTGCTGTTGTTGATGCCTTTGGAGCTAAAAAAGCTGAAAAGGGCAGCGAGGGCTGCGGTCGCAGCAGTACCTGTGCCGGTGCTTGGGTCTGGGTCTGGGACTGGATCAGTGCAATTGACAGGGTAGAGGGGAAACAACGGCTGCAGATTCATCGGGTCATCGTTGGGGAACGAGATCGGCAGGGCCAAGGCAACACCGGCCGATTTGGCCACGCTGGAGGAGCTCACAGAAGCTCAGCTGATTGCCGCCATCCTTGCGCGCTATATGAACGGCGACATACACGTAGGTTCCTGCCTGGGACGACAGCTTGACAGCAAGTTCAACAGAACCAGCCCCGTCCCTCGTGGCAGTGTCGAGAAGCGCCCTCATCTCCTTGACGTGATCCTTTGACCGGCTCTCCGCCCTGAAATGACCCATTAGACGTACCTGGGTGACATTCTCCTCATTGTCAATCCTTACGAGAAACTCCCCGTCTATGGGCCGACGGCAAGTGATGACGCTCCGCCGTGCCAATGGCCATTGCCCACCCCACCGCTGCATCCTGACTGACAAGCTGCATTCACTTGTAGGTCCAGAATCAATATGTCGGCCTTATCCAGCGCCACGCTGTCCCACCACACGTGTACTATGTAGCAAACAACGCCTACGAATCCATGCTACGCACCAAGTCCAACCAATGCTTTATCATCAGGTGCCTGTCCTCGCAGCCCACCCTGTGCCCACCCCGGCCGCTCAACTCACAGCCATGCGTCCACCCACGCCCAGCGGTGAATCGGGAGCTGGCAAAACAGAGACCACAAAGGTCATTCTAAGCCATGTGCTCGAATTGTGCAAGGCGGGCCGCCGCACCCTCGAAACCAATTTACAATCCCTCAACATACTTCTAGAGGCCTTTGGAAACGCCGCCACTGGTGAGTAGCACGCAAGCCTGGCCCCCGATAGCCAACAGCGCCTCGCTTCTCAGCACCATGCCCTCGCCCTTGCCCGTCAGCTCTAAATGACAACTCCTCGCGCTTTGGCAAGTACCTGGCGCTCAGCTTCGAGAAGAGTGGTGCACTTCATAGTGGTAAGCCAGTCAGCGAGCCTACCGGCCGCTCATTAAGCGCGCCAGCCTTTCGACCGTTGACTTGAATGCTTGGTCATCTTACCAATCCTCTTATCCCATCTGACGTAGTGGAGCTGACCGACTATCTGCTTGAAAAGTCACGCGTGGTCGCCCATCCAGCCACCGAACGCAACTACCATGTCTTTTATTACTTGCTACACGGAATACAGGATGCAAACGAGCTGGCGCGCCTCAGGCTGCGCTCCACCAAGGAACATGCATACTTGGCTGCCTCTGCCAAACGTCTCTCCCCGCAGTTTCTGAGCAGTTGTCAAACCATGTGGAAACAGGTTTGGTGCCCGTCACCCGCCGCTTAACGCTTGGGCGTGCGCGTGCCTGAACCCACTCCCCCCCCCCCCTCAGGAGTGCGCACTGCAGCAACTCACTTTGGCCATGCCATGCCATCAAATAGCTGGATGCCACTTTTGTGCAGTATGGCTTTGATCAGGATGAACGCCGCGCCGTGGTGGACACCCTTGCATCCATTCTGCACCTGGGGGATTTTCAGTTTGAGGAGACAGGCAACGTACGCTATCGGCAGAGAAGCAAGCAGAACTGCGCAGCACAGAGCGCCTTGTAACTTCCACCCAAGATGGCAAGTCTCCCTAAATCTCATTCCCCTCCCTCCCTGCTGCTGTGGCCACCACTCGAGCAGGACAGCTGCCAGATCGCAGCCAGTAGCAGTGAACAACTCGCCTTGGTGGCTGATCTTCTCCAGATCCCCAGTGGAGAGCTTGAAGGTGCCCTCACCACCAGCGTCACGACGACTAGAGGTAGGCTACATGAACCACCTCCCTGCCCAACCACCATCTCCACCCGCCCCCTCCCTAACTGCCTCTGGTTTCAAATGCCGTGCCCTCAACAGGAGAACAAATCCAAAGACGCTATAACCTTTCCAAGGCTCGTGCAGTCCGGGACTCACTGGCCAAGGGCCTGTATGGCCGCCTCTTTGGCTGGATTGTCACTGCTTGTAATTCCATACTTGGCACGAGCGCGGCACCCGCCAATACTGAAGCTGCACCCGCAGACGCTCACACCACGGTGCGCTTTTACGCACGCGGATGCCGCCGGCACCCAGCCATGCCAACGCTGAAAAGAAAGGCTGTTTCTCATGTGTTTGCTTGATATCCCACTTGTATGACATGCCCTGGCCTTCAGCTACTTGAGATGGGAATTCTGGGTCAGTGAATCATAAGCGACCAATGACTTACCATATGCCTGGACTTGCAGTCAAGGCTCTGCCTCATCGGCTCGCTCCGCTGGCATACAGATATCTTTGGCTTTGAAGACTTTGAAAAGCACAATCACCTGGAGCAGCTCTGCATCAACGTGGCCAACGAAAAGTTGCAAGCGTTTTTCAACACTTGTGTCTTTCAAGTATGCTCTCCTCCCCCGTTTATTTTGCCTGTGGCCTGAAATACGCTGCGCATGGCTTTTGCTAATGATATTCCCCTTCACGGCGAGGCAGGCGGAGCTGGATGAGTATGAACGTGAAGGAATCGACGTGGCCAAAGTATCTTTCTTGGACAACCAGCTGACCCTGGACCTCTGTTTGGGTAAAACCAGGAGCATCGCAGCGATTCTCAAGGAAGAATCCCGCATGCCGCGAGCCACTGATGCCACCCTCATGAACAAGCTTCGCGACCTGTCTACCCACCCGTCCAACGCTTTTCGACCTCCTCGCTCGGACCGCGACCTCAGCTTCAGACTAGTCCATTTTGCAGGCGAGGTCGGTACAGTTTTCGGCTGGCATGCGCAGTGCCATGACTCGGTGGCTGAGCCTCTGCATCTTGACAAGCGATATTGATGTGTCTTTGCATATTTTTTTTGCTGTCCTTCCTTGCCCCGTCATGCACAGGTTATGTATACAGTGGAGGGGCTCTTGGCTCGTAATCGCGATGATCTGCCAGCTGCGGCGATTGATTGCATGCGCAGCAGTCACAGTGACTTTCAGCAGGCCCTCTTTGCCTCCAGTCGACTCTCATCTGGGGCCTTTGATGTCAGCACGAAACGACGTACGGATTAAGCTAGCCCGTCAACCGCGATGCTCTCCCTTGACCCGGCGCCTCTACACGTGTTTTCAAGCATGATCTGTGCACTCTATTTCTGACCGTTCTGAACCGTCGCGTCAATGGTGGGCGTTAGGCCAGTCGCGGCGGCGCTTCAACTTGACTGCCGTTAACTCGGTCTACAACGGCTTTCAAGATTCACTTCAGCAACTCGTGACCACGCTTGGCAATGCAAGGTGTGTGCAACCCGCGAGATATCCTACACAAGAGTGCCTGCATGGCGACAACAGTGCGAAAGATGTTGACTGATTATGTCTGATGGCTCAACGGCCCTGCTCATTGAACGCAGCGCAACGTTTGTGCGATGCATCAAACCGAATGGCAAGAAGAAGCCCAAAAGTATTGACACAGCTCTTGTGCGCCAACAACTCCGCTCTGCTGGTGTCATGGAGACTGTGCGCATTCGCAAGGTTCGCAAAACGGCACGCTGCATGGCGATATAGCGGCCACAAGCCAGTATCGATTCCCCGTGTGACGCTTATTCTTCCGTATCATCAGGAGGGCTTTGCGCACCGCCTTTTGTTTGAGACTTTTGTGCGTAAGTTTAAGCTGTTGACAACGCCTCTGGGTGAGGCACCAGATGCCACGTCCTTGGCGTGTCAAGCTATCCTTGCAAAGGCGAACATTGTTGATGCACAGATGGGCCGCACCAAGGTACGTCGAGAGGCCCTGCTGTGCGCATCATAACTCGAGCCACTGGCTCAACCACTGGCTCAACCAACCACTATATTGCCTTCCAATGTGCGCGCACCCCCGAGGCAGGTTTTTCTACGATATTCGCACATTGATCAACTCCAGGACCGACTGCAGTTGTGCCTTCAAGCATATGCCGCTGCACGTCGGTTCTTGCGGGGCTACATTCAGCGCCGTCGCTATCGTGCTCTTCTCGAGGGCAAGCGGCAGCAGATGGAGTGCGTGGCGCTATTCATCGCCAATTGCGAGGTGTGTGTACGCGTGTGTCAGTGTGATCCAGCTTCCACCTCCTTCCATTCTCAGCCGTTGTCGCAGGGGCTGTTGCTTCGTTTTGGTTTTGTTTTGTGCTGTTCGTGTGAGATGGCCAAACTTGCTTTTCACCTTCGCTGTTGTTTTTGTTTTTGTTTTTGTTTTCCGATGAGAACGCAGAGAGCCAGCACACAGGCTGCTGCGCGCAACCGCGGTCTTTTGACCATCGATGAGCAGTTCTCTGCCTCTCGTCGCACAGCTTGGTTGCAGCAATCTGCTGCAGCTCTCTCCGGTGGCTTGGCCGAATCTGAGGACGATGAAGATGGCGAGGACGAACCCGTGACCACGGATCCATCCACGCAGGTGGTCAAGATTCAGCTTGCCGATGGCGGACACGTCTTTGAAAGGCAAGAGCGACTCTCTGTGCGGGTGGGACCTCTTCCTGCGCATTGGGAAAAGGTGGTTGATGAGGTATGTATAATGCGCCTGCTTTTGCATTCGCGCGTGCCCAGCGCGCCATCCCATCCCACCTGATGATGTCGAGGTTGTGTCGCTTTGATCGTTTGTGTTTGGCATATTTGGGTGTGTTTGCAGGCAACAGGACGTGTGTACTTTCGCAACCATGAGACTCGTGAAACCACCTGGGTTGACCCTCGCTCGGCAGCTGTGCGCAAGCTGGTACAACTTGTGCACCGATGGCTGCATTGCTTTCCAATTCCGCATTCGCACGCGTCTCGAGTTCTCACCACTGCCCACTTTGCTTTTAGAATGCGAGCGATACGGAAGGTGACGAGCTGCCTTACGGCTGGGACCAGGCCCAGACTGCCAAGGGAGAATATTACTACATTGACCACAACACGGGGGTATGTTGGATGTGTTCTCTCCTATTTTGCATCACGTTCCTCTGCAATGCTGATTTCAAACTTATGGGGATCGCTGGTCTGACTCACTGTGGCTGATGTTGGCGCCCTGGAACAGACGACCCACTGGTTACACCCTCGCCTACTGCTGGACAAGAAGCGCGAGCAATACGAAGAACTTCAGAAGCAAAAAGCCGATGTCGTGGCGGTTGGTCGCTGCGCCTCTTTGTCCCGGTGAATTTGTTGGATGGCGTGCGCTGAGAATGTCTTGCTTGGTGGTGCTGGTATGACCATAGCAACACCGACAAATCATCGTTGAGTTTCGCCAAAAGAAGCTGCGTTTGGAGCAACAGCGGGAAACGGCTTTTGACGAGGACAATGCGGATCAACTAGCTGCACGTGTGCGCGAGATTGACCATGTGATTGATCGGTATGGACATGAGCAGCGACACATTGCTCTCGCTGTGGCTGTGGCTTGCTCTGTGTTTCACCTCTTTTAATGCCGGTCTTTTCCAGGGAGTTTACCAACATGAACGAGGCACTCGATGAGCAACATCGTCTCAAGGCGGAGATCAGTGCTCTCACGACGCAATTTCAGAAGCAACGTTACGAAGCCGAGCATGGTGTCGGGTCCTTTGCACCTGGCGATACCCATGATCTTTACGCCGTTGAGCGAGCTGCCGAGGTACAGACAAGTGCGGTGCCATCTACTTGTGCCTAAATCACTTGGTTCAGTTTGACCAACATGTGTGGCTTGCGTCCCCTAGTTACCCGAGGAGTTGGACTTGGATTTGCGCGTGCGACTACAGCGCAAGTCCACAATCCATCGCTTCGAGAATCAAGAAGAAAGTCGCGAATACACAGATACGCTACGCCGGCGGTACGCCCCGCTTTTTGGCAATGCCTGCGTGCAACCCTGTTTTGACATTGCCGCGGAGGCACTCACAGTGTCAATTTTGACTCTGACGCACACATTGGCTCGCAGCTTTCTGCGACGCCTCGGGCTGGGAAGTCGCAAGCACCGGGGCCAGAAGAAGAAAAAGAAACAAAAGGAGAAAAAATAAAAAGCCGCTTGGTTGGAGCTGTGTAAAGTTCTCATGGCCCAAAGCTGACCCGATTCGACCAGATATTTTCGATTATCATAACAGGAAGAAAGACCTTTGTGACATGGCTCGAGGCCAAATAGATGAAACCCCGACTTGCCTTCTGAGTACATGTCCCCCAACACATAGAGGTGCGAATGCCTCTGATACAAAGTAACAGCGCATGGGACATTGACACCTCATCGGCAATTTTGTACAATCATGCATGATCTGATTGATCCACGACGCACGTCAAGAGATGTTGTACTCAGGCACCTGGCAAGGCCCCTTGACGCGATAGGTAGGTCTGCAGGTGTGAAAAGATCTGCGGCAGCACGCGCATTCAGTGAGACACGTGTGCAGCTACCTTGATTCACGGATGGGAACACATGAAGGCCTCAAACAGTCAAACAGAAGAAACTTGGAGGTCCATACCTCAAGTTGTGCATCTTGATCCATTGCAAAGATAGTTTGCAGCACGGTATCCACGTCATAAATCTAGACAACCACAGACAAAAAAAAATCAGCAAGTTGCATCCGCAATGTCCCTCGACGCGTGGGGTGTGGGCTTGTCCTTGCGCGCACTGACCTTGATGAAGGAGTGGTAGTAGACGTAGAAGAAGACGGCCATGACAAACTGGCAGTCAAAACGATCTGTCACGCCGCCGTGTCCAGGGATGAGGGTATCAAAATCCTTGATCTTGAATGCGCGCTTCAGACCCGAGGCAAAGAATCCGCCAAAGGGTGCAATCAAGGAGGCAAAGATGGCCAAGACCAAGGCGTGAAAGACAATGGGCTTGAGGGCAAAGGTGGTTTCGGTCACCCCAACCTAAAACGAGCATGCGTCAGCCAGGCAACGTCTAGATAATTAAGAGACCGTGGTGGTGTTGTGCGTGGGGTGGCAGTTGTTTGGTACCATGTGCGCAAGGTCACCAAGTCGGGCTGGGAGAGTAAAATTGGTCAAGCGCACGGCAGCAGGTGGTGCGCAATCCTCGTTCTACAACACCCCACACGAAATGCGCGTAAGTTTGACTTGTTGTACGCATAGTTGGAAGTCCCATGGGGTGCGCATAGATCGGCGATCTTCGCCGCGTCTTACGTCAATGTCGTAGGCAGTGAGCGAATCAACGGGGCAGTAGAAGAATGGGTATTCTGCCAGCGTGGAGGCGAAGAGCACGCCAAATACCATGGTTGAAAAGAAAGCGCCGAGAAACCCCTGCAATGTCATGGCATTCGTGAGCAAGGATAATTGTATGAGGATCTCAGGTCCAATTCAGCATGCATGATGGACGATGGCGTTCACGCCGCATGGCCTAGTGTACATACCTCCCAGGTCTTTTTCGGCGAGATGGAGATGAGCTGCGTCTTGCCGAAGAAAAACCCAAACATATAGGCCATGAAGTCGTTGCAAATGACCAGGCACGACGGCAGCAGGTACCTGCACAAGCAAAAGCATGAGAGCATGGATATGGTAAGAAGGCACTTTTGCGTATCAAAGGGCACATGCTAGTTCTTAAAGCCGGTTCGCAAGTGTGTACCAGACGAGACCCTCGTATATGGAGCGCACGATGAGCTGGGAGGTGGCCACGACGAGCAGCAGCGATAGGTGGGTCCAGCCGAACATCTTGAACTGATATTTGTAAAAACCTTTGCGCAGCGATAGCACAAATGACACAAATCCTGTTACGTGGAAATGGAGAATTTATGGTGAGCAAACACAAAAGAAGACGGGTGCACAGCGTCTCCGTGCCAAGATCGGGTTGAAGGGGCCAAGGTGGGCGTACCAATCACGTAAAGCCAAAAACTGATGAAGCGATGGTACTGGATGATTTTCTGAGCTTTGAACTACAGGCCATCACCAAAGCGGAGACACGATGAGCGATTGAGCGTGAGGCCCCACACACGATACATGAGCTTTAACTCGTCGAAGGATGTGCAAGTACTCTCATGTGAGAGTGAGGGATCGTGCAAGCACGTGCCTGGGCACCAGCAAAGAATTCTTGCAGAAGAAAGTTGAAGTGCTCTCCGTAGAAAAAATAATTGGCAGCCATCAGAAAGTACCAGTTGAGAGAGCGAAAGAGAGGCAATTGCGAGTCCCATCCGTAGTAGCCGATGCTGATGATCTCGTGAAAGCACTTGAGCTGCAGAAGAAAGATCTGCCACCAGTATCAAGAACGCGATGAGTCGACAAGAGGTTTGATACTTTCTGAGCAAAGGGTACACCGAGGCAGAAGAATGTTTCTCCGCCCTCCTGGGGTGGTGGTGGGGCATGTCAACGTTTGCAAACGTGTCTTGTTGACAGTCGACGTGGCCGAGGGGGTGTAAAGGTGACGCACCATGATGCTCAGCGCCATTGGTCCGAGCCACACCACGGCGGCAAAGAGGGAGATCATCACGATGGAGAGCATGCCTCGAATGAACCAGTCACGCCATCTGATTGCAACGAGCGCAGTGAGGCTTCTGGACCGATATTGGTCAGATGGGATGAAGGGGGATTGGTACAACGACGCACTTTTTCTTCTTAGGCTGGTCCTTGAGCAGCACAACATTGGCGCCCGATTTCTCAGTGGACCTATGAGAGAGCGCGAGCCAGTGAGGAAGGTGAGGAAGAAAGAACCATGTCACGTCACGCGCGTTTGGATGACTGGAAGAATTGGATAATCGCCATGGGCTGAAGATGGGAACGGGGACGTGCGAGCAAGCCGCACAGTGCGTTTTTATCAGCAAATGTGGTTGTGGTGTTGGTTGCAACGTCCTCCGTGGGTGTAGCCTCGTCATCGGAGGGATATGAGATGCCAGCATTGTTGGGCAGTAGCTGCGGCTGCGACCCGCGACGCTTGCGCAGGTCTGGCTGAGTGGTGGCCATAATGCTGCACTGCCGTTGGCGATCCCGGAAGCGCGATTGCTTCTGCTGTTCTAGATAGGGCTACAACACAGAAAAACATGAGTACAGATAACCCGCACCGCTACACCTGCTGTCCGAACCAGCCTTTTTTGGGGGCAATAGCCCGCCCGCCCAGCTCGCTTGTCTGTTGACATCCAGAGCAAAAGTTCAAGCCGCCGGCAGCGCAGAGTGACGCAGCTGAAGGGGGTTTGCGCACCTTGTTGTTCAAAAAAAAAATGAGAGATTGGGTGCGAAACAACGGTTGGCTGCAGAGATATGATGCCACAATGGCTGTGCTTCAGAGATGCGGTGTCGACAATGCTCAACATTGCTCCTAACGCCATTCTTTCTCAAGGTATTCAGAGATGAGAGCCAATTTAGTTCAAAACTCAGAGATGTAAGATTAAAGCGACCGCTCAAGCAGAGATGCATCACGGCAGAATGAGGAATGTGTGGTGTTGGCAATTTGTTTTACGCGACACACGCTCGTGCTGTTGAATTTTACTTTAATTTTACCCGAATTTAACGATAATTTCTGGGTAATTAAAAATTTTGTATATTGGATGGCCTCTTGTTCTTGTGCGCACCCGAACAGGCATGGACGCGGAACGGTCTTTGCCGGAACGGTGTGCTGCTCTAACTGGACGGTACGTACACGTTGCTACACGTGAGATAACGGTACAGGCTCAGGTGCAGGCTCGAAGATGATGAACCGGTGAAAGCCTTTACGTTCGAGTTGAGAAGATACGGGCTCATTGACCATCTCAAGACTTGTGCGTCGAAGAACACATAACAGCTAGGTGGTGGACTGACTAACTGACTGTCACCTGGTCCTTGCTACCCGGGGGAGATGTATTGAAGGTTTATTGTACGCCCTCGTCGCCTGAGCTGGTTCGCGGTCTATGCAAGTCGGCAACAACGACTGAACACGTGCCCTGCACACGGTTGCTGGTGGAGGCTACAGGCGAAAGCAGCAGAGAGTGGAAGTTGAAGGGTTCAGTGCCTTTGGGTTCACGTAAATTCTGGGCAGGGTGGGATGTAAACGTCAAAAATCTAAAACTTGAGGGTAAACTCTTGCCCACCACCCTCCTCAAGGAGGCGGGCGAGTTCTTGATGCCCTGCCGGTGCAGATGGGCTGGCATACTTGCGCGTCTTGTGGCCCTCAGCCCGGCTCGGCCAGGTCGGAAAAAGTTCGGGTGGAGTGGGCGCTGGCTCATCGGCAAACCACCGGTGCCGCAACGCCTCGCTCGCGGACAAGCGCTGACGGGCAGGGGGCAGTCCAAAGATGCACGAGCCAGTTAGACGGACAAGTTTAACAGCAACGACTGCGCAAGCCCTGCCATCAACACACCTGCGCGGGGTCGTAGCAGAGGAGATCCGACAAAAGGTTGACGCCGGAGGATGGAAGGATGTTGCCATAGCTGCGAGGCAACCGATTCTCCGACGGACCTCGTAACGACATGCTGCGCGGCACAGGCAGATCGTTCAAGCCAGGCCAGCGCGTCTCGTCGGGTACGCCCAGCATTTTGAACATTCTGACAAGCGACAGTGGGCCCGCGCAGAGCCAGCGATGAGCCGACGACGGTTGCAAAGGAAAGCGCCTAGCCGCCACAAGAGGGAGGGCCAAAGAGGGTACACGAGCACCAACGAAGCGACACACTTGTTCATGGTATCAATCTCGCCATTCCCGTCAAACAAAGGCTTGCGCGTCAAGAGCTCGGAAAAAATACAGCCCACCGACCACATGTCGATGGCCGTACTGTAGGATTTGGCACCCAGCAAGAGTTCTGGGGCGCGATACCTGCGAGCGCCGGGCAGTGGCGGGACAGAGCTAAGTTGGCAAACAGCACAAAAGCCTAAAAACTTGATAAAAACGATGCCACAGCCATTTCCCACCAACGGCATACCAGAGAGTCACCACGAGGGTGGTGTACTCCTTGAGAGGGTCGCCATATTCTCGGGCGAGGCCAAAGTCGGCAATCTTCAGAATGCCCTGTAATAACCGTCCACACCGACATCAGCACGTTCCAGCATAGACAGCAGCAGCAACACTCAAGGCAATTGTCGTGCACCACGTCGAGCAAGGCCAGCCACGCAGGGCTGTCTAAATACAATCACGCACGCGATGACTCAGCAGGAGGTTGGAGGTTTTGAGATCGCGATGAAGGATCCAGTTGTCATGGAGATGAGCCACGCCACTCAGCAGCTGCAGCATCAATGTTTTCACTTCGGCTTGAAGAAGGGGCTTTTGAATGCTCTCCAAAAGCGCCTGGCACGGTCCACGCGCGAGGGAACGTGTGAGCCACCCAAACATCAGCGCACAGCACACCAAAAGCCAAACAACATGCTCGGCGCTCGTGTACCTTGACATCATGCTCGACAAATTCCATGACAATGAAGATGTCGTCCATCGTGTCGCCCACCACAATCTCCTCGACCCGAACAATATTCTCATGTCGCACCTGCGGCATGTGCGTTGATGAGATTAAGAGACATTACACTGCCAAAGGCGACCCGCACACGTGGGGGCTGGCCGACCTTGAGCATGGTGTTGATTTCGCGCAGTGAAGTCACCGGGAAGCCTGACTTCTCCTTTTCCATTTTCAGGCGCTTGACTGCGCGAATGTGACTAAAGTCAAGAGTTGCAGAACACGGCATGAGTCAGGGTAATGATGCACCCTGGCACAGGGCTTTGACACTGAGAAGCAGCCGGTGCTGATCGTACCCAGATGACCTGTCGCGCACGCGAAAGACGACGCCGTATGTGCCCTCATCAATGCGGTTGAGATGTTCGTACACTTTGTTGATGTGTCTGCCACCGGTGCATAGAGCATCATGAGCATTGGACCATCGGCAGACCGTGGTGCATGGTGGACCACGGGGGCATCAACGCTCACCGGCAACCCCGTTCGGCAGGATAATAGGGTTCCTCGACAATCTGTACGCGTGGAGGCGAGGGGGGCCGTTGGGCCACTGGGTAAGAAGACTCGGCTGGGGGGGTACCAGGTGGCGAAGGCACCGCCAAGGGTTCATCGCGAGGGTCTGGTGTACGGCGCTCCAGTTCTGTAACCAAGCCGCATGCCGAGGTAGACCAGGTGTGAGTGCATGGCAGTAGCTCCCCTTTTAAGTCAAATGGGCTTCAGGCATCCAGGTGGTGAGGGCGTCTCACCTTTGTCCATTTCACGGGTGAATGTTGGCGGGGACCCTGGAGGCGTATCAGCCGGAGCCAGCGGGGTCGTCTAGGCCGCCCGGGCGCAGCACCAACGTCGTCAAGGCCATAAACCGAACAAAAGAGCAATATCATTGCTAGAAGACTGGAATATAATTGGGTGTCGGTGCGTTACCTCAGAGCTGGGGTCGTGCGGCGGTGTGTCGGGCACAGCAGGTTTGGATTTGACGGGAGGCCTTGCGGTCGGGGCAGCGGTCGGTTTGGGTTTGGTAGCTGAGGCCGCAGCCTTTTTCGGTCGGGATCGTGGCCGCTTGGGTGCTGGGTCACTCATTTTGGCAAGGAGTTGTGCACGTAGCTTGCTCTCGGCATCGCTCAAGCCAGCCCCTGGCGCTTTGCTGCCAGCGCCAGCACCACTCGCCCCACCAGTACCTCCAGCTGCGGTTATGCGCTTGGCCAGCGGACCACCCTCGCGGTCCCGAGCAAACACCCGGCGCTTGCTACCACCCGCATCTCGACGCGCGTAAAGGTCTCGTGCCGACATGGCCAGCTGTCATTCAGCTCCGCCCAGAACGTCCCACAACGACGACGGGGAGTGTCGTTGGTGCCTTGGTCCCTGCTGCTCGCAGCACGATTGTCAACTGAGTTGCGGACGGCTCTCCTATGAGCCAAAAAAAAAAAAAAGAAAGAGGGTGGGGGTCATGAGCCAACCTCCATTGATACCACCAATACCCCACGTCAACGGCCCATTCTGAACTCTCCATACACTGCCCGACACGTACCTGCGCTGCCCTTACCACCGGAGTGACGGTGTGCGAGCGAGAGAGAGAGAGAGAGAGAGAGAAAAAAAAAAAAAAAAATTGAGCAAATTTTTATCAGGACACGAATACAGTGACAGTATTTCCGATATGCGTGCATGTATGCATGTTATGGGAAAGGCAGGGAAGTCGATGTCCGCCTGAGCGTTGCGCGAATTTCCAGCTCTGCAAGGCACGGGAGTGCAAGAGTGGCAGCAGCGTCTGCTTGGTTGGGCAAATGGGGGAAACAAGGCCTTGCCTGTACGCGCGTCTTTCTTGTGTGTTTGTTGTGCACAGGCGGCAATAGGCGAGTGGGCGGAGTCACCGTGCTGGCTGGCCAGGGGCCTTCGCGGTCGCACCTTCCAAGATGATCAAGGCACCCATTCTTGCCATGGCATTTGGTTTGCTTGGTGCCGTGGCCTTACCGCTAGACACTTCTTCCGATGCCCTCAAGCAGGACTGCACGATGCGGGGCGGCACCTGGGTACCGATGGCGGTGTGTTGAGCCGCTTGATTGCCATTTCGTCTCACGCTCCCCGCGCAGACAACCTGCATGCTCCTCCCTACGCCCGGGTGGGCCAGTGCAGGAGATGCCGCGCGGCGCGGCGCGGCACATCATCCTGATGTCGTATTGTACCTATGATAGGACCATTCGGTGTGCGTATGCGATGTACATCACCGTTGCCTGATGAAGCACTCAGATGTCATCTCGCCACCCTGCGCGCACGGCGTGGTGCGCATCGAAGACACGCTCCGGGATCGCTTGCCTGCGCATTGCCAAAATTGCGTGTGCATTCAGGGCGAGCCTTCCATTCCGCGCATCGTCATGGCCTCCATTCCTAGGAGTGGCAACAGCTGGTCTCGGTGTGTAAAGCTTGGCCATCAAGCCTTCCGCGTTGTCGGCCGTTTCCCCTATCGAGCTGTATGGGACGAAGCGTTCATCATCTGTGCGTGCGTACATCTCTTGTGCTTAGCGATATGATTGAGCTCGTGACCAAGCGTGCCACTGAGACAGGTGTGTAGTTCTTGGCGCCTTTGATCTGTGCCATGAAGCTCGAAGCCATCTTCATGGGTCGCATTTTCATGGCTTTTTTAAACATAGTTTTCCCAGAGACATTTCGCGCCTTTGAGGACGGACCAAACTCCGAACGCGAGGTAGGTTAGGGTGCGCACTCGTCCGCAGCGATGAATTTGGCGCTCCTTGACGAGCTCTCCTGCCTAGACGTATTCGGCAACCTGGAGCGAGGCTTCGGACCTCTATCGCCACGAGTGCGGCCATGTGCATGATTGCTCGCACATCAAGCCTGGGTCTGACTTTATTGTGGCCAAAACACACAGCCCCTTCATTCTGACGCATGGGGGTGCAGCGGGCACCCATGGCACCAATTTGAGCGATGCTGGCGTCGGTGTCTTTAACATTCTGCCTGTGCGCAATCCGCTCGATAACTGGGATGCTTGGCACAGGTCCGTGAATATGGTTTCCAGGCCATCAGCTTCCTTGATCGATTGCTCTGCTTGTGCCCATTGGTTCTCACATATCGACAACGTTTGTTGTTTCTTTCTTGCGTTCTCTCACCCACCTTTTGATTGCTTTCTGCGGTGATAGGTGGTTGGTGGGGAAAGGGCGCAATGAACAGCTGGCCGAGTGGCCACTTGACCGCTTTGTCGAGCATTGGTTGGGGTTCCATCGGCTCTGGCAGGTCAGCTTCGTGACGGCTTGCCGAACACTGAATGAAGCCAAAAAGTTTGCGCATGCCAGCGTCTTATCAATGCCGAGCGCCTGTGCGCGTGCGCTGGGTCGTGGCCAACTCTGTCTTGTAGGACACCTTGCCCTACTCTGCGCAACCACGGTATATTTTTCGCTTCGAGGATCTGGCTTCAGATGACAAGCGCGTGCGCCTTTTCCACGGACTTGTCAACGTGCTTCCGTACGGCAACCGCAAAGCGGGAGACGAAATGGCCAAGAGCATGGCCGCCGTTGAGGCCGCATTGAGCGATCCTCGTGTGGCACCCCGCGAGAAGAATAACCGTGCCGCTGATGACGTGCTCTGGACGGGTCATCTACGATACTCGCGCGAGAACATTACCTATGTCATTGATTCGTGTCGCGAGGTTTGTTGTGTGCTTCAGCACACGCTGGGTGGTCTGACCACCCATGTTTGAGGGTCTCACGCCTTTTGGAACCGTTGAAACTGCATTGCCCTCCTTAGTATCTGGACCGGTTTGGCTACCTGGACTTGTATCAAGGCTGGCTCAACATGTTGGACATGCAAGCTGAACAAGAAAAGCTTTATGTGGATTTTCAACGCTTCCCTGACGCCCACTATAGCCAGAAACCGACCAACTGAAAGGCCTAGCCTGTTCGTGTATCCGTGCTTTCAATTCTTCTCCTCTTGTTTTCTTTACCGCAACTCGAAGCTAGCCTTTCAAGTGCACATGTTGCCCCTCACGGCCTTACGCGTAACATCCACGTCGTCCCCGACCATTCACTCCCACTCTGAAAGCTCTTGATGTATATGTGTGAACAACAACCACACAGAAACGATCCACAAATTTGCTTCACACACACACACACACACACATACACGCACACACACACACACACACACACACACACACACACACACACATTTTTGATGAATCAAAAAAAATTAAAAAAAAAAAAATATAAAAAAATGAGGCGGCCAACGCGAATGCGCGTCGCGACGACGGGACTCGTGATGTTTGGTCTGGTGTTGGCGCTGGTTCCGACGAGCCAGGCTGATGATTGGTGTTCCAACAGCTTGGGTTTCTGGGGGAAACACAAGGTGAGGGATGGGGGCTCCCTTTTTTTTTTCTTGGACTCCTTCGCGCGCGCACGCTCGAGTCCAAACTGAACGCTCCCAGCCTGACAATGCTGGCTGTGCTGTGCATAGGGCGCGCCTCATTGCTTGTGCGCAGCGGGTTACTCCTGCCAATTGGAGCATGATGACTGGGAGTCGGCCCCCTGTGCTCATGGCCTGCTGAGTGTTCAAGGGCACCTTCGGGACCGTGTACCCGAAGGTTGTAGTAACTGCCGCTGCAAAGCCAGCGACATCGTTGTCATCCCACGGGTCATCCTTGCCGTCATGCCGCGCAGTGGTGTCAACTGGATTCGGTACAATTTGCTTGCGAACTTCGTGTGCGTGAGCGTCTGAGCGTCTCCCTGCCTCATCTCTTGCTATCCGCACATACTGCTTTGGCACTCGCGGTCCTCGCGGTCCTCGCGGGCAGGGACATCCTGGAGCTTTTGACGCGGCGCCCCACTTATACAGGTGGGACAATGCGGGGCAGTCCACACAGTTCAAACCGGAGAGCGCCAGCATGCTCCCTTTCAACTCTCTCTCTGCTACGTATCGATGGGCGGGGCACCATTTTGGTTGGTTTTGCTAACATCTTCCTCAATCCTTGGTGCGCTTTGCACAGTGAGCGCCGAGAAGTATCAAGCCTTCACCAATCGAGCTGCCTTCTCGACCGAGGTAGCCTTCCGGCCATGTCTGCCAAAGCAGCTTGCTTTTGCACCCTTTTCTCCGTTACTCCCACTGCGCTTGTCTTGATGCTCCTAAACTCAGACTTGCTGTCTGCTGGGCTACTATCACGACTGTTGACTGGAATAGCATTTGGAGTCGCAGTTGGATGAAAAAACCCAGCTGTATGGTCATGCGTGTGGTCACGTCAATGAGTGTCAGATGCTGAAGCCACCAAGCGACTTGGTAGTCGCAATGACACAGAGTCCTTTTCTCTACCCTGGTCACGGCATGCAAGGCCATCTCCAGAACATCAGCGATGTGGGCGTTGGCGTCTTCTCCATCTTGCCCGTTCGTAATCCTTTGGACAACTACGTTGACTGGGTTGGGTCAGTACCGCAATCTCGTCCTTGAACATTGGCGTGTAGCAAATCTTCGGTCTACCAACGACTGTGTTTGTGGGCCTCAGTTGGCTGCGCAAACACTCGCGTGGCGCGGATGCAAGCAAGTGGAGCCTGGCCAAGTTTCTCGAACACTGGCGCAACTTTCACGTGGCTTGGCAGGTAAGTCGACTGTTTTGTGCGCCACTTTGTGAGCCACAAAAATCTGTTCAATAGAATGTCGTCCTTGTTAGGATACGGAGCTGATGCGTGATCAGCCCAAGTTCATTTTTCGCTACGAAGATATGGATGACAAAGACGTGCGAGGACGTATTTTTCATCGCATCGCCAATGAAATCCCATACACCGACGCGCGCACGGGTGCCGATCAGGTCCTGCGCGATATGCTCGGGGTCATGTCTGTGATTTATGACGCCCGTGTCGTGCACGAAGACGGAATCTCGTCGCAACCCGAAGACCCGTGGCTGGGTTATCGGCGCCACTCCGTTGCTGATATACAAATGGCCATTGACATGTGTCATGATGTGAGTCCGCATGCAGTGGCCAAAATAGGGCTGTCGTTCATGCGTGTATGGGGGATAAACAGTCGTGGCTCACATTGGCGATTTTGGCGTTGGACACCGGTAGCACCTGAAACGGTTCGGTTACCTCCGTCCGTACCAGCTGTGGCTCAAGGCCAAGCAGTTGGATCCAAACAATGAAAAACCCTTGAATGCGTTGCATCGCCAATTTGCTGCTAGCTGGGCCCAATTTGGCAACCAGAACTACTCGCCGGCCGACGCTCAGTAGAGTTACGCCCTTGCTAATGTAAATTATTATTTTCTCCAGACCTACGACGACGTTGGGCCTTGACCTCTCGGTCGAACCCTTGATTGATCATTCCATGCCAGTGTACACCATTCCATTCAAGTAATACCATGATCAACGCGCTTTCCGCAACGTCACGTGCGCAGAGGGAGGAGGAGGGAGCAGCGCGCACACTTCCAAGCGCCAACTCAAAGCAATTTTCTGTCTGACAGCAAAATATGTGTGTGTGTGTGTGTGTGAGTGTGTGTGTGTGAAATATAACGGTGGGCAGCCACGTGCAAAAGGGCAGCCTTGCCATGATAAATGCAGCTGGCTCAAATGCATTCAGATCTCAGATGCCGTGATGCAGGGGAGTATGCACGCAGCATAGATGCTCATGGAGGCCGGGGTACATGATCGGTCTGCCGTCAGCTTCAGCTGTTTCTGTGTGAAACAATGTTTTCATTATTCACCACCGCTCGTGCATTTTTTTTTCACTTCACACACACACACACACACACGAGAGAGAGAGAGAGAGAGAAATTTTTTTTTTAAAGCTTCCGCTTTGGTCATTTTAGTTGACGGCACATTTTGGCAGCGGCTCGGGGTGGGTGCATGGTACTGGCATTGGTGGTGATAGTCTGGCATACTAGGGACCTTGGGTTCCCGGTGTTGTTCCCAGCCGGCCTTGGCCGGAGAAGGAGATCCATTAGCTGGTTGAGCTGAAAAGCGGCTACCATGGTGCGCTCTTGGCTCTTCGCCTTGTATCTGGGCGTGTGGCTCAGTAGCACACAGGCCGAGGGCTTTGCTTCCTGCGTTCAAAATGGCGGCGAATGGCTCGAGCTCGAGGTATGTCTAGAATACTCACGTTTTGCCGCGTCGCATCCATCGACTTTTCTGCAAAGTTCAAAGGCAAATTATCATCTTCCTTGCAGAATGGACAACGCATGTGCTTGTGCCCGCCCGACAATGCCTGTCGAGTTCGGCATACGGGTCGCTCCAGTCCGGCCTGCGGTCATCAGATCCTGTTCGTAAAAAGCAGGCTTCGTGATCGAGTTCCAGCCGACTGTGAGAACTGTGTTTGCCGACAAGTCCCCATTGTCTTGCCACGCTTCATCATGGCCTCGATTCCTCGCAGCGGCAACACATGGTCCCGGTATGTGCTTTCCGACTTTTGGAACCGCCAAACCATCTGCCATCTCTCATCGGGAGTTAATGCTTGGAGCAGCGCCCTCTGACCATGAACGATTGCTGATAATGATCGATACGCGTTCTAGGGACATGGTCGAGCTCATCACCAGACGCGCCTCTCATTCAGGTACGAGGGACTGCAAGAAGAGTGTTGTTGGGTAGCCAGGGACCCGAGCCAACGCTGAAGAGCCAGCAAAGTCCATCATGGCCGTACTCACCGGTGCTTGGGTGGTGGCGTGGCACCCCGCAGTCTTTCATGAAACATACAAAGCCTATCAAGACGACACGGCCACTAAACTGGTGGTTCGTCCAATGCATCAGGGCTTTTGTGTCGGGACCAAATGCATGGTTGCTCACGCTTGCTCATTCATTCGGAGTAGAACGTCAACAGCTTTCGAGGCCCGGAGACGCAACTTTATGGCAATGCATGTGGGCATATTAACGACTGCACTCTGCTCAAGCCCCCAGATGACTTTGTTATTGCAAAGACCCACAGTCCCTTCATCTATGTGCGAAAGGGGCATCAACGCGAACTCACCAATTTCAGTGATGTGGGCATTGGTAATTTTCACATCCTGCCCACTCGCAACCCGCTCGACAACCACGACGCCTGGCTGCGGTAAGACTTTTGTCACTAGCAAAGGCGTGTGTGAGTGTATTCTAGTTTTCCTCGTTGCTTCTTTGCCCTCTTCCCTATTTTTCAAATCTGGAAAGGCACTCCTTGGGGCCAACATAGTTTTGCAATGCGATTCAATACACTTTTGCCGGTCTCATTGCGCGCTCTGATACGGCAGCTGGCTGGACAAGGAGGGGCATAGCCCGCAGATCGTCAATTGGCCCCTGGATCGCTTTATCGATCACTGGATCAACTTTCACGTCACTTGGCATGTTAGTGTTGATGGTGCACCGGTCGTTCACCTACCGCAGCTTGCCCCAAGCTCATGCATTTTCTGTTGTCCAGAACACGCTGCCATTGGCCAACATTCCGAAATTTGTGTATCGTTTCGAGGATCTGAGCTCGTTTGATATGCGTGCGCGAATTTTCCATCGCCTGGCCAATGTTCTGCCCTACGGCCCCCGTGAAGCTGGGGACGAGGTGATCCGTGACATGGCGGGGATTAAGCAGGTGCTTCAGGACCGTCGAGTGGCGACGCTAACCACAAACAACCACGCCAACTACGACGTCCTTTGGAATGGCTACAAGCGCTACTCTGCAGCTAACATCACCTACGTCCTCGAGCGCACTCGCCCGGTACGCCCCGCCATCTCGCCGGCCATGCGCACCCAAAAGACCGAAACGCATCTCACACATGACTATAAAATCGCATGATGCAGCTCTTGCAAGAGTTTGGGTACCTGGAGTTGTACGAGGGCTGGCTGGCAGCGCAAGATATGCTAGAGGGCCCTGCTTTGCAGGCTCTCAAGACGGAAAGCTTGGCCAGTTTTGCTCGCTTTCAAGACAAACATTACAGTCCCGCAGAGGTGTAGGAGAAAACAATCGAGCTTTTTTTTTGGCAAGTTGGGGTTAGTTGGTCTCTCGCGTACAGCCTGCGCGCCCACTCGCCACGTACACGCTCTCCCTTGCGAAGCCAGCCGCTTCTTGTCATCCCTGCTACCAACAGCGTGCGCCCCGTGCGCTGGCATATGATTAGAAATTCAAACGCAGATTGTGTACGAGTTGCAATTTGGAACAGCTTTCCGTGGGCCTCATGGCGGAATTTACATACCAGTTGTGTCGGTCCTAAGCGTCGGTTCATCGAAGAAGCTGATGGTGCGATTGTCGCCTTTACGGGGGACGAGGCATCTCCAGTGGTTCCCAACACAGTCAAGCATCGCTGATGGCGAGCAAAGGCAACGGCGACTCACGGTTCCATCATCCAGCCACCTACTGTGTTTGTCAGACAAATGGTGCTGGAGTCGAACGTTGAAAAAAAAAAAAAAAAAAAAATCGAAGAGGAGGGCGTTGGCGTGCTTCCCCGGGGCGCAGAGACATGACGCTACGATCCTTGCAGTCTGCGCTTCGATACCAGTTCAAAGAATCTCAATATTTGGTGCAGGCGCTCACACACGGTAGCCGGGCGAGCGCGGAACAACCCAGCAATGAGCGGCTTGAGTTTCTCGGAGACCGTGTTCTCAACCTCGCCGCTGCCGAGCACCTGTACCATGCCTTCCCAAAAGAAGGTGAAGGCGTACTGACGAAGAAATTAAGCGCAATGGTCAATGCCCAGGCTCTCCACGGCATGGCCAAACGCCTCAAGCTCGACCAACATATTCAGGTGATTGAAGGAGTGGACCTTTCCGAACGGACCCGCGTACTCGGCGATGCCGTGGAAGCACTCTTGGGCGCCATATTGCTTGACGGTGGCTGGCCGGCAGCTCTGGCTGTGACTCACCACCTCTGGTCCATCTCACATACCCCCACCCGAACCAACTTCAAGGAAGCGCTTCAGATTTTGGCTCAAAAATTCGAGCCACATGAGCTCCCTATCTACACACCACGCGGTTGTGACGAGAGCGAGAGCGTTCGAACGTGGCACGTCAGAGTCGAAGCCAATCTGCCCAGCTCCTGGTGGGGCCCCATCCAACTCATGGGGCATGGCCAGGGGACAAGCATCAAGGCTGCAGAACAAGCCGCTGCTATTTCTGTGCTTAAACAGCTGAACATCGACTCAGAACCCAATGAGGCCTTGGCTGCACTGCAGCGCAGGACCGTGCAGCCCTCCACTGAGGGCGTCTATACGACTCGTGCCGAAGCATCCAATAAGGAAGCGAGCTTCTTTTCCACGGCTCGAGTTGCATGCAAGAGGGAGGTCACGCTACGAAAGTGGCAGGCCGACGGATCTGGCCCCTCGATTCGCAAGGCAGAGCAAGCGGCAGCCCAGGCCCTGCTGCATGCAATTCAAGATGCACTGCCAGAAGTTACTGACCTGGAGATGATGTTGGCACCGCCGACTTCGTGACTCGTGTGTTTCATAAAGATTCCTACTGGTTGGAGTTGCGAAGCAGGCTGTCTGGGTGAGTTTGGAGTGTCCCGATTATTTAGTCAATTATTCTTCACACACTGTGGCTTCGACTTGTCGAAAAAGTCTGTCATCATTGCTTACGAGCCCGGAGAGCACCCACATATCGGCGGAAAAGACAAGCAGACGCCCGGGCCAGGAACAAAACAAAAAAAAAAAAAAATCACATCAAACTCAAAAGGGAAAAGATGAGACTTGGGCGTTAAATGTGCGTCTCAGCATAGGCGTCATCAGATAGATCAATGGCCACTGTGTGGGTGGAAGAGGCCAGATGACCCCCCGGTGAATCACATGTTGTCGAGTCACTGCTGCTAATGGAGCGCCGAAAGCGGCGATCAAGCTGAAATTGAGCCACATCTGACGATGCGGAATTGGAACTGATCTTGCGAACGCGAACGCCGCGACTCAGGGTAGCCCAGTGATGGGGCATGGTTTCGAGGAAAATTTCTCGAAAAGTGGGCCGCGATCGAGCTTCCACGGCGGCACAGCGCATGAACAGTGCCTTGAGCGCTTGGCCCATGCCCGATGGGGGATCAAGCAAGCTGCCCGTGAAGCGGGTGCCTTGGCGCAGGGCACGGCATGTCGAACTCAAAAGTGCCAGCACCTCCTCGTCCCCAAGGTGGCCAAAGGGTTCTTCGCCGTAGGAAAAGATTTCCGACAATAGGATGCCGTAGCTGTAGACATCGGTTTTCACCGTAGCCTTGAGCTCATCGATCATTTCCGGGGCCATCCAGCGCAACGGGAGCGGACGAGCTGTCTTCATGCCTGTTCAAGGTTGAACCCAGACTCATGAGTCTCAATGTTTAGCAGAGGGCTGTTGGCAACAGGTGCTATGAGACATGGTCTGAGGCGTGGCGAGCAGCAATCACATACGGTAGTAGAGCTTGACGCGGCGAGAGAGACCAAAGTCAGCCACTTTGGCCTGAAGGCCTTCGCCCAAGAGAATATTGCTACGCAGGATGGGTCGCGGAGAGTACAGATCCCACGGATCAAGTCAGTCATGGCCATAATTCACGGCCGCCGCCAAGCTCACTTACCGTGCTGCAAGGTCTCGGTGTAGGATATGCAAACGCGACAGTTCATCCATACCAGCTGCCACCTAACAGTCAAACATCGTGCGGCGAGAAGAAAGAAGGAAGTGGCAATCGGGCACCGATAGCAATGAGGCAGCAGCAGGTTCAGGCAAGGGCAAAAGAGGTGCCATTTGCGACGCGATCAGTTGTTCAGCACAGATGCGAATACCTGGTGGGCGATATAAAGAAGATCCCGTCCAGAGGCAGCGGCGGCATCCTCACTCATCAACCAGCCATCCAACGAGCCCAGGGGAAGGTACTCCAGGAGAATGGCTGGATTGTGAGCCTCCCTGACAACGCCCAGAAGACGCACAATGTTGGGGTGCGCCAGGTGCTCAATGGCTCGGACCTCTTGCTGGAAGCTCTGCAACATGTTGCCACAATCGCGAAATGTCTTGACAGCAACCAGCTGCCGAGGCTTGGCATCTCCGATGCTGCCGCGGACCATACCACGTCGCTCCTGTTCGAGAGGTTGCTGTGACTCCAGCTCCATGAGAGAGACATCGCCAAATGCACCCTGTCCCAACTCTTGGACAAAGCGAAGTTGCGACCACTGGTATTCCGGCTTGGTGAGAAGGCCAGATTCGTGGAGCAACCTTGCCTCGAGCTCCATGAGTCGATCAAACGCAGTACCGTCATCAGCACTGTTGGCTGAGGTAGTCACGGCCTCCTGAACCAAGGACCTAATTTTCAGTAAGGCTTCACGAGACGCTGGCGTCGGCGCAGCAGCTTCCAGGTCGCAGGTGAGTTGCAGCGCTGTATTGAGGTTGGTAACAGCCGCACGTGTCGCGTGGCGGTGCACTGGAAAGCCTTGAATAAAGACGCTGGGTGTGGCAGAGGCGCTGGACGCGTTGGTCGCATCCTGCGCTTGTACGATCAGGCAAGCCAAAGGCAAAGAGTTGCAGCCGAAGCAGCCACGTGCTAAGCAGGCAAGTGCGCTCACAGCTAGCGCACACACCTCGAGGGCCAAGGACTGCGAAGCCAGCAGGTCTGTGCAATGGTGAAGTGCCTTGGCAGGTGGGAAGAGCAGAACAAACTCCTGCTCAACTGGGCCAGCAGCAGCTGGACAGGCCAGGGTGCGATGGCTAGTTGTGGCGAGAAAGGCAACAAGCGCTTGCACATCTGTCCATCCACTCGCGTAGGCGGCCAATAGGGCCGGTCGAGCCTGACGTGAGTTGCCCACAATCCAGGCCTGGCCGAGTCCAAAGCGCCAGCCAGGTGATGAGGCAATGGTGTGTTGCAGGGTGAAGCGTGAAATGAGGTCCTTGACCTCGCCCACCGCGTTGTCAGCATGTTGGAGACTGGACCGGGCGTCCATGGAAAGAGAGAGCAACGGGTTGTGTTGTTTCTGCCAGCACAGACCAAAGATGCTGACAAAGCGGGGGCGCAGCTTTTCCTGAGTGCGCGTGCAGTTGCGGATGAGATCCGCAAGCACGCCAGGCTCGACGCCCGTGGTGTCAAGGTATGGCTGGGAGCGTAGTTTTGCCACAAAAGCGCTCTTGTTAAGATTGCGAAAGAGCTGCTTGCCAGTGATAACTTCATAGGCCAAGCACCCAAACGCGTACACGTCGCCTTTGATGGTGTACTCGCCATCGATGAGAGCTTGTGGCGACAGGAAGCGCACATCGTATGATTCGGTCATGGGCTCGGTGGGCTGCGCCATCCAAGCATTGTGAGTACGGAGTTTGGGTTCTACACCCACAGTCTTGCTTGCCATGCTGACGTAACTCTGGGATTCGTACACGTCACGAGCCATGGAAAAGCCCGCAACACGCACTTCGAGGTAGCTGCGCTTGATATATACTGTATCAGTTGAGAGGCAGCGGTGGACGATGGACATGGACTCGAGGTGTGCCATGGCAGCCGCCACTTGTGTGAGCATAATCAAGGCCCGCTGTTGCTGGATGTCAGCAGGCTGCATGGTCCATGCAGGGCTGCGCAAGTAGTCGCGTAGGGGGCCTCCTTCGGCATACTCGAGGACGCAAAAGCATTCGCGAGCGTTGGCAGCCAGTCCATAAAATTGCAGCACGCTGGGATGCCGGCGGGCAACGAGATGGTGCAAACGGCACATGGCAAAATACTCCACGGCAAGGGCAGGTGATGCACCTGGGTCCAGGGACAAGGCCATGACGGGCGCTTGTCGCTCGGTCTTAAGCGAGGCTTGTGCCATGAAGCAGGGCCCAAACCGCCCGGTTCCTATTTGTACGCGCTGCTTTAGCTGTGCAGGTGACTGCACAGATGCCTCATCCTCAAAGGCTTCGGCTAGAGCCAGGCGGTCGTCAAAGGCCCTGGCAAAATCATGCTCGAAGCGCGCCATGCCTTCCTCACGCGCTGATTGTAGGTGGGTTATGCTGATATGACGACGTGGTTTGCGGCGAAGATGGGCGTGGATCAAGAGGATAAGCACCAAGGCAACCAGGGCAATGGCCGCCACGATGGCAATGACAATCGTGTTGGGTCCGTGGCTGGCGCTTGAGCTAAGGCGTGGCGGCGTCGTTGATGCGGGTTCCGTGACGAGGCCGGGTGCCTGGGTAGTGGCAACATTGCGTGTTGCAAGCCAGGGCATCACAGGGCATACTAGGTCCCGGCTGTAGAAGACGCTTGGCAAGTGGGGCCCATAAGGAAAGGGTCGATTTGTGCTCCTGTTTTCTGCAAAAAATCCCAAAAAGCAAAAAAAGCCTTCCTGGCTGAGCGAGGTTTCGTTGTCGTTGAAGCGAATATGGTAAATGAGCTCCATAGCCAGAGCAGCATTCTCTTCATCCACTCGAACGCTAAAAAAAAAAAAAAAAAAAAAAAAAAAAAAAAAAAAAAAACAGCAAGAAGAAGGGAAGGGGGCAGGTGTCAGTCATTAACCGTGGGGATTAGGATCCCTGAGGAAGATCGACAGGCTGATCTCGCTTCGCACACCATGCAATTCCAACCAGTCTTACTGAAGGGAGGCTTCGCCTACGCGACCTTCGAAGGAGGTCCAATTCTGAATGACAGCTTGCAGAGGGGGGCACAAAAAGGGACCCGGGTCTATCACAGGCCAGCGGTGAGACCAGGGGTGACGGCGGGAGGTAATCTGAGCACATAGTAGCTGCGACAATGGGCTAGCACTGTGCGGCGAAACTGACTATTGGGGTCGGTGCAATTGCTCGGATTGTGGGACCAGGTAAGAACGCCACCCCGGAGATGCAGGGTCATGTTTTGGTAACAGGAACGGCCGCAGATGTTGTGTGCCGTGAGAGCGGAAAGCGTGAATAGGCCGCTGCAGTCCATGCTGGGTTGGAGGTGAAAGTTGGCGGCGGTGATAGCGCAGCGGGCTTCATCGCGGCCATTGGGGCAATCCAGTGAGCCATCACACACTTGGTGCTGTTGGACCGAGCCAGCAGAGGGATCAGAATCATTGCAGGGCAGGAAAACAGGGGGCGGGCAATAGGGTGCCTCACGGAGCGGGGGGTCTGAGCAAGAGCAGTTGATGAAGAGAGGGCCGGACGAGCTTTGGGGATTGGAGACAGGATGCAGCAGGCAAGTGGAGGGGTTATCGCTCATGTCAATGGCAGCAGTGTAGGTCTCGCCGTTGGGGAGGGGCACGGTGAGGCCCCGGTAGATGTTGAACATGTTGAGAGAAAGATGAAGCAGGTCAAGGCCAAAGTGGGTGATGTTGTTGCCGCTGATGTTAAGAACGTTGAGGTTGAGGGTGGCAGGTAGAAAGTCGCAGGCGATGGTGGAGATATTGTAGCCGTGCATGTCAAGGGAGCGGAGGGTCTGTATGCGGGCAAGGCGTGGGTAATTGGTAGGAGCGTAGTTGCGAGCATCGAGGCGCACATGTTTAACAGGTCCCAGGTAAACGTGTTGATCGGACATGGAAAGATTTGTGACGGGGTCTTCAAGCCACAGAAACTGGAGCTTTCCGAAGAAGGTGGCGGCGACATCCATGATAAACTCATTCAGGAAGAGGTTGCGCAGATGCAGCGACTGAACGCTGCTGTGACGGGGTTGGCCAAACTCGAAGACTTCGACGGGATCGAAGCGGCGAGAGCCGAGGCTGTTGAAGGTCAAGTCGGTGATTGGGTTATCCAGCCCCAGCAGGGAATCAAAATTGTAGTTGTAAACATTGGCCTCAAAGGCAGAGACGACAAAGACGTCGAGCGTTCGACCGATGCGCCCCCAGTCGGTGTTGAGTTCTTCCTCTCCATCCATGGAAAAATTGCGTAGGTTGTGGAGGGTGAGCGTCGAGACTTCGCAGGCGAGGTCACAAAGGGCTTGGTGGACCGTGGTGTTGGGCCCAAGATAGCAGTCAGCGGTGGATGCCGCTATTACGCAGACATCAACGCTGAGGACGTCATCGCATTCGAGGGTTAGCGGGAAGCGGCAGGTTCCTTGTAACGCGGTGACTCGGAGGGTGGGGGCCAGGAAGACGGCGGCCACCAGGGCAACCAGGCTCTGGGCTGGGGTTGGCATGCTGTTTTGATGCTTCAGCTATGTTTCACGTCGCAGCCTCAGCGCCTGGTAGCTTTGAAAACTTGCGTCCATGGGTCAGAGCTCAGATCCCAATACGGGAAATGACGGGGTAAGGGCAAGGGGCGGGGGGCGGGGCGCAGCAGCGCCGCCAACGTGAGAGTTGAAGACGGGCAAGATCATGGAAGGATCAACGACCAGTCCTGTTGACCCTCCTCAAAGCGCCCTCATCTCCATCAAACCAGAGCGATGGCCAGAAAAGATGCCCCGAGACGACGCCGTTTGCGCCGATCGCATGTGTGTGTGGAAGTGATCCAACCCCACACGACGGTTTTGAGGGCGAGGACAACAGCAGCAAAAACCTACAAAAGTGCTACTTTAACTTTGGTATGAAATCAAGTACCTGCCATTAGGTGTCTACAACAACTCTTTCTCTACCAACATTAACTTGTATGAGAGGGAGAGAGAGAGAGAGAGAGAGAGAGAAGAAGAAGAAGAGAGGGAGAGAGAGAGAGAGAGAGAGAGGTTGTGAGTTGGATTTTCTGATGTGCGCAGAGTTGTTGGGGGGAGGGGGGCATGGGTGATAGAAGGGGCTTTGAGATCATTGGGCTAGTTTGCGTGGTGTGTGTGTGTGTGTGTGTGTGTGTGTGTGTGTGTGTGTGTGTGTGGGAGGGCATGGGTGATGAAAGGCGGCACGAAGCTGGCCCAAAAAGGGTGAGGCGGGATCGATTTTGACTAGGGCATAGACACAGGGGAAATTTAGAGTCAGGTGTGGAAGGGCGACAAGTTGGGGGCAGAAGAAGGCATGGTCATGTTGCACAGGGTCGGTTCTTTTGGCAACGTGTAGAAAATGCCTTCTGTGTCACGACGATTGAACTAGAGATGGGGAAGTGTTGGCCAGGTGCGGGGCGTCCGATGAGATGGTTGGCGCGGTTGCGTGGCACGTAGCCGCCAACTGCAATGGTGATGTTCGGGCAGGCTTGGAGGTTTCCGCGGCCTAAGGCGTGTAAGGCAGTCCAGGGGGTGAGAAGAGTGACCGTGGAGTTTTCAAATGTCCATTCCTGCTCAAGGCGGCAGACTCACGTGGCTCTTGGTTGAGTGGCGTGGGCACACGGGTTGGGAGGGCTCTACGCTCCGCGTACATGCCATCAAAGTTTCGGTGAGACACTTCAAGTGGGAGCCAGGAGGGCGCAGGTAGACATGGGTGATAAAGGTGGCGGTCGTACCCGAGTCGAGGCGTGCAAGCAGGGTCACAAGGGCACTGCGCAAGGCGGACATGTCCACGGCGTCCTGGTGGACGAAGACCTGGAGCGCTTCCACGTCGCATTTGCAGCACGTTGGGCACGTCGGCTCAGACTGGGCGTTTGCAAGTCCAGTATGTGGCTTGACATCCAGAGGGCACGGTGAGGCCGGTAAGCTACCGTCGGCCAGCACGCTGTCATCGAGGGCGGGAGCGGCCTTTGATGAGGCCCGCCCCATGGCACCCATATCAAAGAGCCGAAGGGCGCGAAGAGGCGTGTGGGACGGAGTGCCTGTGGTGACGGCACTGTCATCCAGGGATGGCGACGGCTGTCGAGCGAGCTGGCGCTGTGAACCTGCAAGTCCATCAGCTTGGGGCGTCGAGACTCGCGGTCCGAGCGAGGCGAAACTGTGGTCGAGCGTATCGTCGAGATCGCAAAAGCTGTCGTTGCCCGAGCCCTGGGCTGCGGCACGCGCGTAAGCCAGCGCCGACGAGTCTAGGCTTGCGCGAACCTCGAGGTAGGCCGCCCGAGACATTTGCATCATGTCAGCCGCTGTCTGGTCAGCGATCTGCGTCAAGCGGCTGCTCACCAGCGCGCTCGCCTGTTGGTTGTTCAGCAGCAAGCTGTAGCAGTCCACGGGTGTGAGAAAAACCAAGTTGGGATGCTTGCCCCTACGTCTGGGCGTTGCACGGAGGGGTCGGGTGGGTTACTCACTTGACGTTGGCTTGGTGCTTGAGGTCGGGCACCACCATGTCGTGGTCCACCATGAATCGGACGAGATTGGAGCGGCGCGGTGCCGACTGTTCGGGCACTTTGAGACCCGTTTCCAGGTTGTAAAGGTGAACGCGCCCTGTAAAAGAAAACGTGCATTCAAAGGTCAAAAGCAGGAGGTGGCAAAGGCATGTCAACCAAAGTTCAGGCCGGCATGCACGACGGAAAGAGAGGTGAGAAGGCAGGGTGATCCAGCACAAAGCACACACTCACCACGACGGCGGGCACGACCCGAAGCCAGGCGCTGGCCAGAAGACCCCTTGGAGCCTCGTGGCAAGGCGGTCTCGGTCGCCGCCTCGCTCGCAGCGCTGGGGCTCGTGGTCATCGTGCTTGTCCAAGTAGGAAACGGAGCAAAGGAAAAGGCCCAGTGGCCGTCCCTGCAGGCAAAGTGGTCCACAGCACTTGCCAAAGCCAAAAATTCAAAATTTTCCACCTAGTGGGATCAAGGCGGGAGAAGAAGAGGGAGAGAGGGAGAGCGAGAGAGAGGGAGAGGAACCACCCTGACGTCCGTCAGCTGTCCCAAAACCTTTTCCGCCGTACCACGACAGCTCGCTCTTATTCACAACGCCCTCCTCCACATGGGGCCATGCTCCTCAGCCCAGAAAGCACAGTACGACCAGACCCAGCGTCCTTCTCAGCTGCTTCACCACATCCCAACCCCAAGCGGGGACGAGGACACAGGGACAGAGAGTCAGATCACCCACCACCCCCTCCCTCGTCCGGTTTCCAGCACGACGGCGTCGTTATTGGCGCGTCCGCTCCCACACACGCACTTCGGCGCCCTTTTTAATCTGACATTACACAACAGTATAGTACAACACCCAATGACAACATAGCATCTTCAGCTGACAATTTAGGCTGACATTCAACATCAAGTCTCGCCGTGCTACCAGACGTTTTATCTTACTTGACAACAACAACAACACATACACACACACACACTCTCTCTCTCTTTCTCTCTCGCGCGCTCGCACACACACACACGGAGCCATGGCAGGCCTGCTGAATACACCGCAAGTGCGGCGGAGTGAGGCTGATCTGTATGATGGTGCCGCGCTGGCACGGCCAACGACGGAGGACGAGTCACTACGCCAAAAGCTGGTGGCCTGGCTCCAGCAGGATTGGTCCATCGAGGCCTTTGATGCGGCCGAGGGCGAGCTCCGTGACATTTGCGCCCAGCATTGCACCGGCGACTGGATGGCCAGCTATCGCCTGGTGCGTGCCATCAGTCTCCTGGCCGTGTCTTGTTTGTGTGATTTGCCTGTGCTGTCGGTGCCTGAATCATTCGAGCACGGCAGGATGGTTGAGCTGCATCTCGCATGGCAGCCGCTGATGTCATCGCCCGTGCATGAGTTGCCTGGCAGCCCTCTCACCTTGCGTTTGTGTGGGGCAGGCCATGGTTGCAGCTCGTCTCGGTCTGGACCGGGACGCAGAACAGCTCCTCCAAGGCATTCTGGATGGCGCACCTGCTGGTACGCGACTCTTTTCTTGACGGTTTGGCACCAAGATCATGGTCCACAAGCGTAAAGCAGTCGCCATCTGTTCATCCTCCGCTCTCCTGTTGCAGAGAAGCGCTTGATCCGACTGCATGCCTCGTACCAGCTAGCCACGCTCCTCTTCGATAATCCGGGAGGTGATGTCCCGCAGCCAGAGCGCGAGGTACGGATTGTAGCCTGCCTTACTACGCAGAGTCACGCGTTCTGGCGCTGATGGCCGCTTGTTTCAACTCTTCAAGGTGCGCGGTTTCGAGATGATGCGCGATTTGGCTGGTGTTGACGTGGCCAGCTTTGCTCAAAGTACCCAGCTTCCCACCGTGCGCGGTAACGACGGTGAGTCCATTGTGGCTCTATGGTGTTTGACCATATGGACTGGTCTGTGCTCACTCTTTTCCTCCGGGTTCGACGCCAGGTCTCTCTGAGCCCGTGGAGCTAGTTGTGGAGGCGCAATGCAATCTGGGTCTAGCCTATCTTGAAGGTTGGTCGCGCATTCACTCTTGGTCTCTCGTGGAAGCTTTTCTGAGGACTGTTTACAAATTTTAATCAAACACCACTTGTGCTACAACCCGCTTAGGTCAAGGGGTGGACCGAGACGATGACGAGGGTGTGCAATGGTTGCTCAAGGCTGCACGGTAGGTCCTATTGAAATACTCGGAGGTTTTTTTTTTTTTTCTGAACCGTGCACCCGGCCTCGCGCTGTCCCATGATCTAACTCTGGGCCTGTGCATAGTCAAGGCAACCCGGATGGCTCTGGTCGAGCCATGAATGCCCTGGGTCATTTCTATAGCGATGCCACCCGTCCTCTTCGTCTGGATGATCCCTTGGTGTTGCGACAACCGGTCAGTCACCACAGACCCCGTGGGCCCCGTGACTTGCCACGCGGGGTGGGCCATTCAGAAAAGCGGCCATTCAGAAAGCGTTTGACTCCAGCATGTCAGCATGCCGCTTGTTGAGCTTACGCATCATCTCTGCCCCTCATGCAGGATTTGAAGGAGGCATATGGGTGGCACTTGTTTGCGGCCAAACACGGGAGCATGGACTCGATCTGCCACCTTGGCCTCATGCATCGCACAGGGCAGGGGTGCAAACGCGACACGACCTTGGCCCTCAAGTACCTGCGCGAGGCCGGTACGGCTGGTCATGACACGGCTGAGACGGAGCTCGGCATTCATTACTACGATATGAAGCTCTACAACAAGGCCATGCAGTGGTTTCGTCGTGTAGTTGACCCTCTCCGTCGGCTGGATCAGGCTACTGTTGAGGCCATGAGTTTGACCATGCGTCGTGTAAGCCGTCTCGCCGGCATTTCTGGGTCCTTTCTTTACCTTACCAAGTGCTTGTGACCCAAGTCAGGTGTGCATTCGGTAGCTTGTTTCTCACGTCTCAGCGTGTGTGCGTAGACGCGTGCTCGTGCCTGTTGGTTTGCCTCGCTGTGCTTCACCCGCGGTCTGGGCTTGGAGCAACCAGATGCCAAAGAGGCGGAAGCGTAAGTGCCTTGCATTTTTTTTTCGGGAGCTTGACAAGTTCACTTTGCACATTTCACACCCTCACGTGCTGATGAATGGACCGCCTCCCTGTCTCTCTCACATACTCACTCTAGATGTCGCAAGCTGGCCCTCGTTTTTGATAAAGCAACTGTGTATGAGCTAGTCAAACAGAGCGTTTGAGCTGAGCGGTGCAAAGGTACCTCGTTGTCATAGTACGTAGCTCTGTTTCCAGTGTTCAGAACAGAAGCATGATCCTTTCTTCTTTGCTTGAAGATGGCCGCTAAGCGGCATGCGCACGAGCCGTGACTGGGCTGAGATCGTGTCTCTTGACCCACTCTGCCACGTGACTTGGCTGATAATTGATATTATCCTGTTGTCACGTTGCCCTTTTTCCCCCCCCCTGATTCATCTGGACTGTTGCCAAAAGAGAATGGTGTCTCCTTGAAAAGTGTGCTGACAGTGCTCAATTGTATCCAGGCAGCAAAGGAAAAAAAAAGGAAGGAACAAGAGGGAAGAGAGGATAGATCCCAACACTCTACAGGCGAGCGTGCCGAAAAGACTGTTGTCACAGCTCAACGTCACGCCAGTCTGAACCGGTTTGGATCAACCACCAGTATCAAAGAAAATGAATGTTGTCATGCTGCAAAAATAAACACAAAAGGGAACCGCAAACCAGGGCTCAAGCCACAGAACAGGTGCGTAACAGCCAGTATGAAGAATCATGACAGGGGGTCACGCGCCTCATGGATTGGGTCAAGGATGGGTTCAGCCAGCCGATGCGAGCGGGCGGACAGCTTAATAGCCATCGTAGAAGCCAGCGGCAAAGCCGATGGTACCGCCGACCAGGGAGCCAACGGCGCCACCAATGGCGGTGCCAACACCGGGGCAGATGGTACCGACGGCACCACCCATGGCGCCACCGAAAGCAGCACCCTCAGAGCCATCCGTGGCACCCTCGCTGAAGCCAGAGGCGAAGCTGCGGCGGCGAGCCTGGGCACCGTCGTAGTTGACGAGGTCGAGGGCGGTGAAGGTGGCGAGCTTGCCGTTCTGGTGCATGTAGCAGGTGTTGTGGCGGACGAGGAAGCAGTCGTCGGTGGACTCGGGCAGAGAGATGTCGGCGGCGCCCTCGGACTTGCTGAGGAGGGTGCCCTCGGCGTCAAAGAGGGCGGTCATGACCTTGGAGGTACCGAGCTTGGTGTAGTTGTCAAGGGTGAGGTTGTTGGTGATGAACTGGGTGGTGGCATCAATCAGGTCGAAGCACGACTCGAAGTCATCGGCGCAGACGGGGTGACCAGTGACGGCCGAGTTGATACCAACGGTGCGGGTGGTGGAGGAGGTGGTGACGGCAGCCTGGTTGTACAGGGTGTCGATGCGGCCGTTGGCGCTCTCAATCTCGCTGGTGGCGACACCTAACGAAAAGGGATAAGATAAGAAAAGAGACCCCAATGTGAGTAGACCATGATAGGGAAGCAAGATAATAGGCAAGCCAGCACAACAAGGAGAAGAAGGAGAAGAAGAAGAAGAAGAAAAGGAAAAAAGAAAAAAGAAAAGGGCAGACCATAGGTGATCATGTGAAACAAAACGAAAACCAAGTCTGGCAAACGATTCACATCACACGTATAGCTTGACCAGACTCGACCATAAGCAAAGGAGAAAAAACAAAGGGAGTGATGTGACCCTTGCATGTGTGCGGGTGTACATCAGGCAGGGAGGGGAGGCTGCCAAACCAAGAATGACCTGGTGGAAATAAAAACAAAACAGGCTCTCACGACAAATGGGACCCCATGCCTCCAGCACCGCCACAACAGGGGAGCAGGCCCCAGCACCACCAAGACAGTCTCACGCCACATCCCCAATGCTCGAAGACACAAGATGGCCCGGTCAAGAGACTTGAAAGGAACAACGGGTTGCCATCGCGTCATGGACGCGACCGCCGAGACACCCAAACAAGCACAACACCAACACCTCACCGGCCAGAGTGACGGCGACGACGGAGATGATGAGGGCAATGATGAGAAGGGTAAAGTTAAGCGCCGAGTTCATGCGCTTGTCCTGGCGAGCGGCCTCCTGAGGAGCCATCATGGCGTATTCAACCGACATCTTGACGGGAGTTGGAGGCTCTGCCGTTTTCAGGTCAAGCACTGCGACAACCACACAAGGGGAAATGCAAGCCAGATCGCACCCCGCCCTCTCTCTCTCTCTCTTAACGTTAAGCTCTTTACTTGACTAACAGCTGAAGGGTGGAGGCGCGAGCTTGATGACTCCATGACGTCAAAGCGCCGAGTGTGTGGGTAACGTTAAGCAGACAGGGTCGCGAAACAAAAGGAGAAGCAAAGGAAAAGCAAAGGAGAACAAGATCATGCCCCTTGACTCTTGACTCACTGTGGGCTTTGGGCGTGAAAGTGTGACATTAGTAAGACTTGGTATTGGAGTGGACATCACAAAAAGTTGTATAGTATTAGGCAAGACTTTTGGGGTCAAGTCTATTGTACGGCCCTTTGACTACCCGCAACTCTATATGGTAGCGGCACCGCTCTGTTCTTTCATTAGATTTTTACATTCAGAACACACGTTGTGAACACTCGGACCTCCGAGCTTGCGATCTCCACAGCTCCATAGGGCTCAATACCAACACACACGGGCTTTACTGGCGCAGGGGACGGCTGGGACGGTTGTCGAGGAACATGCGAAGGCGCGCACGAATGCCAGTCTTGTCGTAGTAGGCTTTGAGCTCACGGTACTCGTTCAGCACGTCCTCGCCAAAAGCTTGGCGCAACTGCAACACACACACGCCATGCCATAGCAAGCAGGTGAGTGAGTGAGAAAGTGCAGTTTGTTAGCACGCAACGACGGCTTGGATGCATGCACAGCCTACCTGTGTCAGAGCATCAAACATGGCCACATCACCAAACGTGTAGTGCACGCCGGGTCCCAAACCGTGGTCGTTGCTCTCCGTCTCCACCGCCAACCTAGCCCCCCCCCCCCCCCACCAAAACCACGTTGCCAATCAGCAAGACTCTTTGTTTCCAGAGCCTGCCCGCCCTTATTCGAAAAACCGAAACAACATCCAAACACACTCCAGCCAAAGCCTCACTTGTTAAGATGCTGCAGCCAGTGAGGCAGCGTGGTGGAAACAAATTTGTCCTGGTCTTGAAGGGGACCCTAGCCCCAGATGAAGGCATGGGTGGAATAAATCAGCGCCATATCCATGCATCGGTGCGGGTCACGCAAAAGCAAGTGCGCCAGAGCCATCATATACCGGCTTGAGGTACATTTCGTACAACTCGCGACGCAGGTCGTTGGACGCCTGGCACAATGCCCGGGCCATGGAGCGCTCCATCTCATTGCCTCCCAGGTACGAGTTGCCACGCCCGGCCTTGGCTGCAGGCATCGGGCACACCCAGAAGATTGGCACGGTAAGAACACGCGAGCAACAAGACCCAGCAGCATGGCCGCATAGAGGCAAAATCAGACGCACCAGCATCAGCTTGCACGGCAATGTGCTCCATGATGGCCGCCGCTGAGACCAAGGGCGGACAGGGAGATTGGTGCGACAGAGTGAGGCAAAACAAAAACACAAGCCATGCCAGCGATGCTGGCATTGGGGCAGGTGTGCGGGCGTACATTCGCAGAGGGCAAAGCCATCCGTCCAAACTAGCTTAGGCAGCTTGTGAAAGTTTAACTCGCCCTTCTTGTCCATCGCCTATATATGTGCAGGGGTCATCGGCATTGGGGCAAAGTGAGCACCGACATGGTCAAGGGCAAGCACGATGCACGCGGCACCACGGCCAGCGGTCGCGTCCCCTACCCCAGACAGACATCCAACGCAAGGTGCGAGTCAGACCTACCGCTGCGTCCGAAATGATATCGTCATACTTGACACCAGTCTACACACAGGCATCGCATCAGTTGGCTTGCAAAAAAAAGCGAATTGGACGGCTCGTTCCAGAACGGCCAGTGAACGACCGGTCTCCCCACCTCGGCAAAGAGCATACGGATCTGCTCGGTAAAACCCTGCTCAGCGGGCGCATACAACGTGGGCAGCGACATGGTAATGGGTCTCAATGGTGTTGACTCGCCAAGGTTCTGCGACACCCAGGAGCAAGAAGAGGTGAGACACAGATTGACCGACATGATCCTAAGATCCTAAACGCCAACAAGAACAAGGGCAGCCCCTTCCTCCGGACCCTTGGGACAAGCTCTGTGAAGACCAGTGATGCACGAACAACGATTACTCTTGTCAAGTGCACTGCACGACAGGAGAGGAGCCAGACACCCAAACAAGGTCGTGTGGATGTGGATGTGTGGTGCCTGTGGGCTGGGGTTGGTGGGCGGATCTCTTGGTTCAGTCGTTCGACAGCGACGATCGGAGCACGACCGAGCGTACCTCTTTGCTTGCCGGTAAGCAAGAAAATGAGAATCATTTTCACTGCCAAAATTGTAGTTGGACCAATAGCCAAACCCAGTGACAGCCGCCGCAAGTTGCGTTCATGCATGCAAAGTACCCAGCAACACAGAGAAAGAGAGAGAGACAAAAACAAAATGAGAACAACAAAAAGTTAGAAATGTTCTGCAACTATTATCGTTGTTTCGCTTAATAGAAATGCAAAAAGATGAAATGGGGGTATGTACCGAGTCTTATGAGGGGCGGAGCGAGGTGAGTTGATCGGAGGGGAGGGCATGTACAAGGTGCTCATTCTGCTGGTTGGTGAGAACAGTGAGTCGCCCTCGACCCCTGGCTTTGGGAACCCATCGGCCCTCGCCTCGCGTGTGATGGTGACAACCCGGGCGCAGAGAAGTGGGGCGTCACAGAGGCGCGCACCGCTTGCTAGGCAGCCCCGCTTCTTGTATTTGGTAGCCGACCTTGCTATTCTTCTCCATCCTCATTTCATCTCCCGCCTTGCGACTGGGGGTCTATGCTGGTGCGGTTGGGTTGGGCGTCAGATCTGATCCTTCAATTTCAACAAGATGGCCAAGCTCTATTATCACGCCGGTCAGCGCGGCGAGGCAGAAGCCATTCGCATGATGTTTGTCGAAGCCAACTTGGTGAGTCTCGTTCACCATGGTTCTCCATTCTGGCCACTGCCCCAAAAGCCTCTTTGCATTCAAGGTCGCAATGCAAACGACCAAGGAAAAATAAATCTTTCTTGCCCAGACCGAGGCTGTAGACTGGCGAGGTCATAGCAGGGCCAAATCATGTCCATTATTCCCTAATGACCTTCCCTCGTTCTCGGTATCATTCCGTAGCCCGTGGACGATGTGGCAGTGACGGATGCCGATCTGGCAGCACTGGACGGCGAGGGCAAGCTGCTTTTTGGTGACCTGCCCGTGCTCGAGGTCGACGGCATGCGCCTTCCCAAGCGTAAGTTGCGGTTGCCGGTGCCCTTGTCTCATATCTTGGTTTCACCCGTCATATCACCGATCGGCCGTTGAGGACATGGAGCTCACTTTGCGGTGCACATCTTCTTCATCTCAGAGGCTGCAATTCTCGAGTACATTGCCAGCAAGGCGGATGCCAAGAGTGGCGGCAAGGGTACGACGCACGCGCCGATTGGTGATTTGAGTTCCAGTGCCGTCTTTGATGTCGTGTGCTGCTCTCGCGCTGCTGCTCACTCCCATTACACCTGCCTGCAGACAACCGCTTTCTGGGAAGTAATGAGAATGAGCGATCTACGGCACGCTCGCTGTGCAGTGCTGCAAATGATCTCCGCCGTGAGCTTATGCGCTTGCTCAAGGTTTGTTTGCACTGCTCTGCGTTCGCATTCAACCTGTCAAAAAACAAGCTCAGCGTCGCGTGGGTATGGGTGCTTGCTGTTGAACAGAACCGCAACAGCGATGCCGAAAAGGCTTTCAAGAAGGACACGCTGCCTCTGTACTTTGGCAGCTTTGACAAGTTTGTATTGGCCGGCCTTTGCGCTTGCTGGGTGCCTCAGGCAAAGCTGCCCAGTTTCACCGCCCGTACCTTTTGCTGCTAGGATGGCCGTGGCTTCCAACGACGAGGACAAGGGCCTGGGGGATGGCGTTCATTTCACCTTTGGAGACCTTGCGTGCGTAAAACAAGCGCGTGGCTCTCGTGCCTCCTCTTGCATCCGACGACACTGGCATGAACCCAATGTTTAGCCCTCACCTTGTCTTTTTCTTGCTCTCGTTGTCCCGCAACAGGGTCTTTGAGGTGGTGAATGCAATCACCCATTATATGCAGGTGTCCATCATCCGCCCCTACCCCAACCTGAAGGAATGGCACGACAAGGCCATTCGTCGCCCAGCCCTCGAAAAGCACATCCATGCCCGCCCAGAAGCCACCTGGTAGAATGCGATCGATCGCACGGCAGGTCTCGAATCGGCAAGACCAAGCAGGCGATTGATCAAGCGATGATGGCGCGCATCGCCTCGACAACCTTTTCCATTTCCGTTGTTTCTCTCTCTCTCTCTCTCTCTCTCTCTTTAATTGAGCAATGCCAAGCCCCCCTCGCCACTCAAATTTTACTTTGAACTACATGTACGTACTGGCCACCAGCACTGACTCACACTGCCACCTGGCCGTCTATCATGGTCAGCAGAAGAAGAAGATGAAGAAGAAGATGAAGAAGAAGATGAAGAAGAAGATGAAGAAGAAGATGAAGAAGAAGATGAAGAAGAAGATGAAGAAGAAGATGAAGAAGAAGATGAAGAAGAAAAAGAA